ATTTATAAAAGAATAGAGGTAAATATTTGAACCTTATGAAATTTACCTTTTAATTTTAGGTTGTTAGTTAAAAAAGAGACATTTGGTGGATGTTTTAGTTAATTAATTAATTAATTAATTATTATAGTTAGGTATACGGTTATAATATGATATATTATCTAATTTATGAAGAATTACGCCTTTCCACCTTCAATAAACTGTGCTGATACATCCATTAATTCTCAGGATGATCATTTCTTTTCCCACGAAGATACTACGAATCTCTTAAAATAATATGCTCTTTAAACCAAAAGGGGAAACATGGGGATGAGTAATTTAGTTTTTTAAATTAGTTATAAGATATGTTATCCAAACAACAAATAAATTTCGTTGTACTCTTGGGAAGTTTTTTTAAAACTCTAGCTAAAGTAAACATTTTATTTTTTTTACTTAAAAAAACTATTTTATAAAATTTATATTTCAATTGTTCTAAGTAGAATAGGTGTGTTAACAATTATTGCATATTAGAGTACAAACCTGGTACTTTATAATCCATGCTAAAAACTTGATTTTACATTTGAAACCATAGGACGAGAATAGTTCTATTAAAACTTTAGTGTTGTGTTAAAAAAAATTCTTATGTTTTATTGTAGACTGGTCTATTATCAAACTTTTGATGATACTTGTAACCAGTTTGGAGAAATTTCGTTTTATTATTTTTGGCGCGCTAATTTAGAAATTTGGCCTTATGTGCGGTGGAGAAAATGGCATCCTTAAAGTGAAACTGGGCTGGAAACATTGCTAGAATAACAAATGAATGGTGGACCAGAAAAATAATCAGTAAATACCACGACAAGAGGATTACAGAAGCAGAGGAAGACCCCCAACTTGATGGACAAACAGCATCAAGCGTATTCGAGGCTAAACCTTACCCCACCTTGACAAAAAATCAGATGTGTTTTTTAACAAAATAAAAACTAAATCTAAAGTCAAATATTTTAATTGCGAAGTAATTTATAACCTTAAAATATTCGTACATTGTAATGCTATGAAGCTAACATTAAGAATAAACACAGAATAGTTTCAATACTCGATAAAATGTTCAACCCGTTACATTTTGAGAAAATTTTAGAAAATAAGTATAAAATATTTGTGCATTTAAAATACGTGCTTGTTTAAGGTTACTATTCAAGTTTACACAAAAAATTTTTACTATATGCCTTCATCCAAAATTTTACAGTATCAACTTTAGAAGCCAACTTGGTCGTATTTCTGATTTTGTAAGGTCGCAATTCATGACGTTATAAAACGTTTTCTAAACAAGTTTTTATTGACATTTTGTTTGAGTTAAATATCTAATTTTTTATACTATTTTTGTATATTAACGTATATGAACAAACATTGCATTATCATGAAAAAACGCAGTGACTCGAAGAGGGGTAGTCCTGACTCAAACTCCCACGTGGATTTGCCAATGGTATACAGCAAAAATAATAATACTTTTTTAGGTTTTTATATTATTTTATCATTTGACTAGATCTAGTCTATAGACTAGACTTTAGGCGAAAATGTATTAGTATAAAACTTAATTTTATTATATTCAATTTAAAACTATTTTAAGCGCCATTTTAGTTTAATAATAAATATAATGTGTAAAAAATCAATTAAGTTTGTATATTTTTTCTAAAGTGGATGGGTTATTTAAAGATCATGAGTAACCTTGCGAATTTCAAAATAATTGGGTGTGATTTTTGGTGGTGTTTATTTAACTTTTTTCAAAATAGAAACATCTAACGATGATAAAGGAAAATTTTACACTCACGAAATTAGATATTAAAACGACGCGTCATACAAATTAAACATTAGATAGATTGATAGATAGATTGATATATGTATATATTTACACATGTATTGTTATATATTATAACATTAAAATCATAAATTAAAATAAAAACTAGCGGTTCTCAAAATATTTGAAAAAAACTAAAAACCTTTAAAAACCAAAAATCGTAATAACTTTGTTATTCATGGGAATTTTAAAATAAAGTAAGTTTTACATGTAAACATACACATTGTAATAAATAAAAATTCGCTATGTTTTGGGTTACCACCACCTTTTTTGCTTGTTTTAAAAATGAAATTCCTATAGAACAATAATTATTGTACGACCCTCTTAAAGCACTTTGCTGTTTTTTTTATTTTCTGAGCACCCTGGACATTTAATTAAAAATGTTTGTTAGGAATCTCATTTTTAAATACAAGCAGAAGTTTTTATGAAGAATGATTTTTTGCGATTCCGTAACGAATATTTTACTACATTTCTCTCTTATTTTGATATATATATATATATATTTTTTAAATTTCTGAGCACCCTGTATATATTTTATCTTTTTATGAAAGTCTTAATTTTTAATCATAAAAAGAATTCATTTTTCCACAAAACGCACTTCTAGTTTATTGGGTTTTTTTAGTTTCTAAGCACCCTGTACATTTAATTCAAAATGTTTGTGTAGGAATCTTATTTTTAAAACAAGCAAGAGTTTTTAAATAACATGTTTTTTTTCGTATCATACCTACACTGAAAAAACAAATCTGTTCTATCAACCAATAAATTTTTTGTTGAAATTGTTTTTGTTGGTCCTAATAAAAAATTTGTTAACCCAAGTAAAGTGTTTAATACATTAGTATTTGCAACAAAAATGAATTTGTTGGAAAGAATTAGTTTACTCTACTGACAATATGCGTCGCCGCTAATAGGTATCCTTAGTAAACATAACAAATATGTTTTTGTTGTCAATTTTCGCCCAAAATTGACATGATGTGACATTGAAATTTATTTTATAAAGTTGACCGACTTGGTGCCATGGTTAAAGTTAAGTCTTGGTGTCATAGTGATTGAATAATAAAAAAATAATTTGTCACTGTCAAAAAATTTTTATGCAAATGCTAGAGGAAGCAGGTTCGAGTTAATTAATTTTTGTGCATTGGGCGTTATGGATGAAGAAGTAAACCAAATATTAACCGAGTGGGGATTTTCTTCATTAGAAAATACTTTTAAAGGTACCAAAATAATTTTTGTTAAAAAAAATCAAACAATATTAAACTATACCTACACAATATTGTTAATGCAACTCTTTTTATTAATTAGTATTACATACTGAAAGAGGTGCTTTAACAATATTGTGTAGGCATAGGTTAATATTGTTAAAGTTCTTTTAACAAAAATTATTTTTTGGTTATTAAAAGAACTACCAAATGTTATAACAACAAAGCAACAATGTTGTAGTTACTCATTACCATAGCTTTTCCAACAAATAGATTTATAATGAAAACAAATGCAAAAAGTTATAGAAACAAATAAATTATTACCTAAAACAAATGTAAACTGTTTTAACAACAAAATATTATTGTATGAGATATCAATAATATTAGTTACTTTAAACAAGACGCCATAGTTTTGTCAACAAAAAATATTAGTTACAGTAACATATTATGTCTCAACAAAAAAAATTTGTTGTTGTAACAAAGATTTTAGTTGAGGCTATAGCTACAAATAAAATTTGTTGGCGCAACTTTTTTTTAGTTGCTTAAACAAATTATTTTTTTCAGTGTAATAAAAAAGTTTTTTCTATTGTCATTACCATCCGTGGGCACACTGTATAATATACAAAGTATATTAAAAAAATAATATTATGTAATAGGAGTAAAGAAAATTGTATTACCATTCTTAAATGCAATAATTATTGTCAAATTTAAAAAATGTATTACTTTTATGACCAGGTTAGCGGTAATTTGTCGGCCATTTTTCATTTTTGCATAACTCTCTTATAGGCGCATAAAGGCAGATGAATTTTTATAAAATCGGAGCTGGAGGTTCATATTTTCGAATGCACTATGTGGTTCTCGGCAAGTAATTATAAATTTTTACTTATATTCTATTTAATATTTGTAATTACAAAACTTGAGAATTTGAAGGTTAAAAAACGCTATATTTTTGGCAAAAAATCCAAAAAAAACATTTTAAAGTTGTATTTGTACTCAACTTTATCCCTACTATAAATTTTTGACACTAATTTTCACTACTATATTTACGCAACACCTTTTTTACACCAAAAAGAAGATTCCGAAAATAAGAGTATTTTTGACAATCTTTTTATATATTCGTTATAACGCAACGCATACGCAGTAAATTCTACTTCACAGTTTAAAATCTTAGGTAATAATCTGTCACGAACAATAAAGAGGCATCAAAATGCGTTAATAAAGTGTTTTAAAAATTTTTGCCGCGTAAATTTGCCTCTCAGACCACTGTGCCTCGCACCCTCACAACTTTTCTTAAACTTAAATAAAAAAATTGGACTATTTTAGTTGGTAGAATTTGCCTAATAATTATTATTAGTGACTGCTTTGACAATTAGTCAAATATGACATTTTTTGGTCGTAGATTACAAATCCATGCTTGGTTTAGCTGTATCAGGTCAAAATTCAAAGATATTGGAAACTCCCTGTATAAATTTAAACAACCTGTATAAATTTAAAAAAAAAATAATTTTGCTGGACCCACACATTAGTTCCAAATTTAAAAATAACAAATTCTTGCAAAATTTGAAGTTAATTGTCTAAAAGTAAGACGTGTGTTTTTTATAGATAATTTATTAATAATTGTTTAAAATTTGGGGTTTTGTTAATTTTTTTTTATTGAGTAAAACTGAGGATATTATATTTATTGAAATAAAAAGCATAAGAATGTTGGCACAAGAGGTGAATTATATTAATTTACAAATTATAATATATCAGTATACAGTGTGTCCCCGGATCGGACTTTTTTAGACCTGATACAGCTAAACCGAGCATAGATTTTGAGTTTACGACTAAAAATTATGTTTACGTGTCCGATATTTCAAGAGTTGAAAATTTACCTACAGTGTTATTAGTCAATTTTACTATTCATATTAAATAAAATTTATTGTTTAAAATTTAAAATAAAAATAGACAAAAATAATAAACATTATTTTTTTCAGTATTGTTATCGATGATTTTGACTCCAAAAATGCCAACGACAAAGAAGAAAGGTTAAGCCCCGAGGTCAGCAATAATACGTCCTGTCCTAAAACCTACACTAGAAAAAATTCAGATGCTTCCATTAAAAAAATACTGGTAAGTAGATAACTAAACGAAATTAAAATAAAAAAACTAATCTGTGCAGTAAACTTTTAGGATTTTTTAGTAAAATCCTTTATGAACCTAATTAAATTTAATTTAAGCTAAATACAACTTTTGCGTAATGTCTTTTTGTTGGGTTTAAAATTACTTCAAAGCGTTGTTTTTAATAAACATAAGTCTTCGACGACAAATAAAAGCTACTAGAATGAAAAATAAAATAAAAACAGGTCAAAGGAAATAAACAATTTTTCTGTAGAATGATTTTCGGGTCAATCTCTTTCCTTTTGAATCTTTAAGTTAATAATTTTGTTTTGGTACAACACTGACCTAATTCTTTATAAAATAGGAGCTGTTAAGTTAAATATAACTTTTCCAACGTATGCAGAAGATTATCTAGGTAATGGACATTAATCTATACGATGTGTGTCTGCAGACGGAAAAATCATGTTTTATTTATAATAATAAATTATGGTCACTTAAAAGGATCTATTAATAGAGACCCTGGTCATTTTTTTATTTAAGTTATTTAATTGCAGTGTTTATTTTAAAAAAGTTTCGTAAATTATATGAAAAAATATTCAAAAAAAAAAAAACAAAAAAAGATTATAAAAAAGTTAAAAAAGTATTATTAGTATACCGCGGAACTTTTCCAGCGACAACGTCAAAATGTTAACAAAAATCAGAGTTAAAAAAGTAAACACTTATCTTTATACATGTGCAAAAAATAAGTATAATATCACAATATAATCATTTTTATGTAATCGCTGGAAAACTTCCGCGCTATAATTGTTAGCCAACATACAAACAAATACATTTCCGTAAATATACATGTATGTATTAAATTTTTAAATACAATTAGTATTCTTAAATCAATAAGGTTTTTATTTTTTGGGACAATGTAACATTTTTTTGCGTTAATTTCTAAATAAAAATAGGACGTCCGCTAAGCATAAAAAACTTAAAATTAAAAAAAGAAATCAAAAAAGGATAAAAGTTTAAATTTAGAAGTAGGTACCACATTAAAAATAATAATAAGTCGTAGAAGTTTTAGTTGGCTTTAATCTAATGATTTTATTGTTAAGTTTTAATTTATTATTTTTAAGTTGATCAATTAACCTAAACACGAACCAAAACTTTGTAAAATTACCCAACAGACAGTATTCATATGGATAATAGAAACGGTCACTCGCTTCTTGATTAGGGGTCGCATCTAAGCATTTACTTTTGATAATTACTGTGGTATATTTCAAAAAATAAACGTTTGGTATTAATAATCATCTATTTTAAAAATCTACTTTAAGAGGTAAGTACCTACACAATATAAAAATGGTGTTATCCTCGATAAAATTATTGCCGGTAACTCTTCTGTCAGAATTCCCTGTGCTGCCCACTGGTAGGTTTTCTTTTCTGCTTAAGGCGCGTTCATACGTTTTTATTTATCGGTGAGAGCAAGAACAGTACAAGTCCAAAATTTAAATTTTTTACAAGTTATTTTATAAAATCATTTTTTTTTAGTTTAAAATGCATTTTTTTAAGAGTATTTTAACTATTTTATAAAATAAAATGAATTTTAAACTATAAAAATAATTTTATAAAATAATTTTTAAATTACAGGTACGACCATAGAAAGGTTTTATTTACTTTGGAATAAAATTTTTGTGGAGTTTATAAATCTTTTTATTAGTATGTGGAATTTCGATGAATTTGTAATTAATTTATATAAAATAATAATTGTGTATCTGAGAATAGGCGCACCACCGTAACTTTTTTATTTATAAAGATAGACACATGAAATTTTGCATGGTTAATTAGGATATAAAATGCCACTTGTAAGAGTACAAAATGAATTTTTTGAACGGTTTTTCCGGAAATGATACCAACTTTCGGTTTTTAAATGGAATGCCCTATATATTTTTACATATTTGGAATCCTGAAGAAATTCTGAGTCAGACAGCATCCTCAAATTGGCCTTTTGACGTTTCGTCATCAGAAAATGTATCATCATAAAGATCAATCTAGAGTGCTTTGAACTATCTTATTTTTATCTAATGGATTCACACAATGCCTAAAAAATGGAACTTGCCTTAGAAAGTTGTTATTCAGCTATTCCCAGCAGTCTAAATTTGTTAAAATTCGTTTTTCTCAAAGCACTCTAGATTGATCTTTATGATGATGCAATTTCTGATGACAAAACGTCGAAAGGTCAATTTAAGGATGCTGTTCGACTCAGAATTTTCTCAGGATTCTAAATATGTAAAAATATATAAGGCGTTCCATTTAAAAATCGAAGGTTGATATAATTTCCGGCGAAACCGGAAGTTCAAAAAAATCATTTTGTACTCTTATAAGTGCAATTTTATATTCTAATTAACCATGCTAAATTTCATGTGTCTATCTTTATAAATAAAAAAGTTACAGGGGTGCGCCTATTCTCAGATACACCCGGTATATTAGAGTTATAATTATTTTTTTTCTAATGTTGAAAAATTAGTATTGGAAAATTAATAGTACATTATAAAACAAAAATATTGGCCCCTATTAGAGCCTTTAATATTAATATTAAGGTTTGCCTCAATTCATTTGTTGTTTTTCCATTTCAATAATACGGGAATTTTTATTTTTTTAATTTTGAATTCTTATAACTTTGGAATGGTTTGTTTTTGCAATACCCAATCGAGAGGAGTTATAGACAATTTCACGCTCTACAAAAAACACCTGAAGGTCAAAGTTATTCAGATCAACCGTTTCAAAGATATCAGCGATCAAAAATAACACTAATAAAAAATTTCAAATATTTTTAAATAAAATATAAAAAAATATCATATGCCTTATTTATATTATTTTTTATGTAAAATCACTTTAATTATGTATCATTTGGTACCACGGTACCAAAAAAAAGACACCTGGGAAAACCGGAGCTCTTAATTTTAATATTTAGAGGTCGCGCATCGAGAATTTCTATTTCCCATTTAAATAACATGGAAAGTTTTTTTTCTTTTTTTTTTATAATTTTCTAGCTCACAAACTAATTAACAGATTTTTATGCGCTATATATATTTTTGTGGAAAATTGAACGCTCTACAAAAAATGTCTCCTATCATTTTTCGATAAACCAACGAGTTCAAAAGTTATTCAAAAAATCAAAATTACTATGTTCAATAAGCCTTTTAAATTAATTTCACTGAAACACCTACTTTTTTAGCCAATTATTATGTAAAATTACCCCTGAATCCGAAAATATCGTCAAAAATTATGAAAGTAGAGCAGTTTTTGAAATAAAGTCAATTCCATATTTTATGGAAAAGTGAATAAATCTCAAAAAATGTTCTAATTATATAATTTTTGACGACATTTTCGGGTTCAGGGGAAAATTTTACATACCTACATATTATTAGTGGCTGCTTTTTCGCTATCACAATTATTATTAATTATTAGTCATTTTTAAATAATTCATTTTTAGAGAGAAGGAAATATATTATTTTTTTCTGTACAATCTGCCAAAATATTTGCCGATGTAATTTGGCGCCTTCCTTAAATTTACTTATGTCGGAGTACTGAATTTTCTAGCATTGCCAACCCTAGGGAAATTTACCCAGTCCAGGGGTTTTCAACACCTTCAGATACTAAAGTATTTTTTGTCAATCCTAAGTCATTTCTTAAAGGAGTATTTTGGACAAGAAAAAATAAACAGAATTAATACATGTATATTTTTCCATTATGTGTTTGTTATTTAACTATTTGAGTTCTAAGCCAATCACGACTTTTATTTGAATGCCTTTCAAGAGTAAAAAAATCCTATGGTTAAATCTGATAAACTAGGCAGAAATTTCCATAACCCTAGGGATATCTCGAAAAAAGTTGGCAATGCTCTGATGTTCCCACTTGCATGTCATCTTTGGACAAAGTGTCTGCCTCTTTAATCCCTTTTGATCCCTTGGTGGCCTGTTCTACGAACATGTGACTTGTTTCTCCCCTTGCATATTTCATCATTTATATTTAATAATTTTTGCTTTGCTTGTATTTGTTATTTTATTTAGATATAACTTAAAGTCGGGATCGGACTTCACCGTGAAGTGGTAATAAAACATTTTCTTCACTTTCACTGTGAAAAACTGTTGTTTCATTTTCAAGGAATACATTTTGATTTATTATTATCTAAGTTTATAAAACATACAAATTTGACATTTGACATTAATACAGATTCCCCTATTGTTTTATAGATGGCGCTCTACACAAATACTTAATTTAAATCATTTTTAGATAATAATAAGTATTTGTCGTAGAAAAAGTATGGTATAAACTTTTCTAGGCATTCATTAATTTAAATTCGTGTAAAATGACGTTTATCAAACTTGATACACAATATATATTAGGGTGTTTCAAAAAAATCGACTTTTTCTTTTTCTTCAAATGGTCGGCAAATTCTTTCAGAGGATGTCAACACAAAGACCTCGTCAAAATTTTAGCTTTTAATTTGAAGATTTAGAGGTCGCGGATCGCAATTTTCTATTTCCCATTTAAATAACATGGGAATTTTTTTTTTTAACTTTGAAATTTTATACGTCTGAATCAAATCAACTTATGTCAAGGATCATCTTAGATTTTCATAGTAAATTTAACGCTCTACAAAAAAGGTCTCCTATCATTTTTCTATAAATTGATTCCTTCCAGAGTTATTCAAGGCCAAAGTTTGATTTCCATCGAATTTTCGCGTTTTTTTAACATTTATGGTACAATTATCATTATACGGGTGGCCAAACTTAAACAGTGCATTATTCGTATAAAAATAACACTTTTTGTTTAATAAACATGTATCAAAAAATGCTCCCTAAAGGAGCTACGGCCCCCTGAATAGGAGCCTAAGAGGATAATTTTTTTTAAACTATTCCTAGAGGGTTGAACATGAACAAATGAATTTTCGGTAGGTACTTTGGTAATTTTGACATGCTGAATCTAAATCTATGATCAAAACTGTTAAAATTTAATCATAGGCGTAACATTTGGAGGGGGCAAAGTTACAAAAATAGCCCCAACTTTTTTCTGGGTTAATAATTTAATTTTTTTTATGAAATTATGAGAATTTATAGTTTTTTACGAAAAATAGGTACTCTTGATTTGAATTGCTCAGATGCACCATTTTCGAGAAAAATGCATTTATAAATAAATTACTTTGCATATTATACACATCTCATATTTTCATTAAAACTTTGTAGTAGGCTTTGGAAAAAAGTGACGTTTTTTTGTTTTTTTGTTTTTTTTACAACACTTCATATGTTTCAGATATAAATATGTGATTTTTTTACTACATGATGCTAAAAGTTGAAAAAACGAGAAAATTCGATGGAAATCAAACTTTGGCCTCGAATAACTCTGGAAGAAATCAATTTATAGAAAAATTATAAGAGACATTTTTTATAGAGCGTTAAATTTACTATAAAAATCTAAGATGTTCCTTGCCATAAGTTGATTCGATATAGACGTATAAAATTCCAAAGTTAAAAAAAAAATTTCCTATGTTATTTAAATGGGAAATAGAAAATTGCGATCCGCGACCTCTAAATCTTCAAATTAAAAGCTCAAATTTTAACGAGGTCTTTGTTTTGACATCCTCTGAAAGAATTTGCTGACCATTTGAAGAAAAAGAAAAAGTCGATTTTTTTGAAACACCCTAATATATATATATAATATATATTATAAATTTGGACCAAAGTATGTATAATGTATAAGGAATGATCAATTATATTAACTAACTTTTTTTTTTCAAAAGTACTCGTACCCTTTACTCGTTTTTTCATGATTACTACTCGTAACCGTAACCTCTCTTTACAAAATTTGTACTAAAAAATATTCGTAAAATTTTAAGTACGAGTACTTAAAATATTTATTCGTAAGTACATTTAATGTAGTACTCGTGCCCAGCTCTGCTTCCACTATAGGTCATTGCCAAATAAGACAAATTCTTAAATTTTGTAGTCAAGATAAATAATTACATAATTATGATTTTTTTCAGGAAGAAGCGGAGAACCGAAAACACGAATTCTGGAAACTGATCGACGAACACAACGCAGTAGTCGAAGACATAAAAAGAATAGAAAAACTAGAAGGGACATCAGTATGTAAAGTGGCAACTTCACCTATTAAAATATAGGACAAACAGACATTTAAGTGCTAAAAATTAAAAAAGCAATATTATAACAACATTCTATAGGAAACACATATTATTTAACATATCAACAGTGAATTATAATAGTGTTATTTTTAGTTAGCCAAAAGTAAGCACTCGTACCATTAGAAAACATATTTTGCAAAAGCTTTTAGGATTAAATTTAATGCTGTAAAAATTGAATTTCCAGATGTAATATTTTATGTAGATTAAGTGTTCAGCCATAAATTATGACAGTATTATGATTAATCTCTCTTAAAATCTAGTCTATTAAATAGAGTTAAAAAAGGTCAGTGCTATTATTTATTTTCTTGATTCTGTAAAACTAATTTGTACTTAAGATTTCAAAGCCAATTTTATGTTTACGATCAAGAGGGCTTACAAAAGAGCGTCTCGCCTCAATGGTCTTCAAGCACTCTATGTTAGAAAATGTTTTATTAGGTTTTTTATTTTTATTCTTTGAGTTGTATCATTTTATTAATGCTGTAAAGGTGCTGTAATAAGCATTTCAAGTAAGACTGTAATGAATCAATTGTATAGTTAAAAATAAAAACTCAACCTATGTATTAGATGAACCATTAAGGTATTTTATTTAGGATGAACTATTTGTATTATTAGATTTATAACAAAGTAAATAATAAAAAAGTATATTTGTAAAATGTAGCTTTATTAATGCCTTTAATATTAAGGGATTTCTAAGTTGTATTAGAGTATACTGCGTATACTGTGATTACATAGTAAAAAAGATATAAGGATATCTTCCTTTCGAAACTAAATTGGAAAGGACTAGCATATTTGTTATTTTTTATTTCAATAATTTAATAAACTAAGAGCACGTATTATTTTTTTTGAGAGTCTTAAGAACTTTTTAAATTTATTTAGATAGATATATTTTATGTCAGTTACATTCAACTTTAAAATTGTTAGAGTCGTTTACACCGAAATAATTAACAATAGGTAATACTTAAATAAATTCATTTTATAGCAGAATTTGCACAACTAAAAACTAAGTATAATTTAAACAAAATAAGTTGTATTAAATGATTTCATAATTTAATTCAGTTTAAGTAAACTTAAATAGTTATTTGTTTTACAAGTGTTGAAAAACGACTTTTTCATACAAGTGTTTAAGTTGCTCACAAGGCCGTCAGGCCGAGTGTCCATTAACACGAGCTTGAAGAAAGCTTTTCTTACATGTAAAACACAATATTTTTTCTACCACCCTTTTATTTTTTATTATATTCAAATACAAAACAAAATAACCTAAAAACGTGTTTGACAGCTGTTAAAATTACTTTCATCTTATTCTTTTAATTATTAAGGTATAAGTTACTTAAAATCAATAAACTTACCTTCTCAATTTAAATAAAGGCACTAAAAATTAGAATTTATTATACAAACACAATTAATTGTGTGTATACAAATACAATACAAATTTTGAAACGAATGTCACGATGCTGTCAATTTCTTTTCATACAGACCTGTCACTTTTCACACAGAAATGTCACTTTACATTCGTGTTTTACCTTGCCAATGAAAAGATTCATTTTCTAAGCGACGATGCTAATACGAAATGTGACTTTTACATAGTGGTCGTAAAAAAATATTTTTCAGTGCAAATGATTCTAAATCAATATTATCAATTGGAACTGTGCCCGAATTTAAGTTATAGTTTACTGCCGACGAAATTGAAAGGTCAGTACAATGTTCATATAAACTTTTCAAATATTGGCGTTGAGAAACTATTTAATACTTTTGTATTTTTGTATTGAGATAATAAAATAATTTTCACATTTAATATTATTTTACAAGAAAGGCACTTTATTTTAACGATTGTATGACATTTGACAACTGTCAACTATCTTAAAACTAACTTCAGCCCGTGACTAAAAACCTGTTGCTAACTTCAGCCCGTGACTAAAACGCCGTAAAGCCACAACTTGACAATGTGTATTTAAAAGGTCACTTAGTGTCATAGAAACATGTACAATAATGGTCGTTTTAAAGGTGGGAGTAAAAAAAATTATTTTCTTGTCAAAAATATCTTCCAAAGTTCCTAATTCTCAGTATCCTGACTTGTCCCACGAACAAAATCTATTCAAACAACAAATTAAATAAAATTATATTTTTTTTGCCCTGAGGGAAAAAATTATTGTATTTTCCCAAAGTTTATTAAAAAAATCACTTTACTAGATTTTGTGTTTTGTCTCAGTATCCTGGACAATTTAAAACACGCTAAAAATTGGGGTCTTCTACGCTAAATAAGGCATCCTGGTAAAAATTTACTTACTAACTAAACAAAAAACAATAGATAATTTAAATTGTTGTAAATCTACGTTTTTTGAAAATATATTTAAAAATTCTCAAAATCCTATCAATTAAAAATCTTGTTTTCTCAAACTAGATTTAAATGCATTTAAAACACACTTCTGGTCAAGACTAGTAAGGTCTCACCTCGCTTAGATAGACAAAGTAAAGGGTGATCCAATTAGTGCTTTAGGATTTTAAAGTAAAATTTTGACAACACTGTACATGCGAAATTTATTTCTATTTGACAGTTTTGTAGGTTAGGTTAATACAAAACAACATGGAACATTTAACACCAGAACAACGTTGCGAGATTATTAAAATTTATTATCAAAACCAAAGCTCTGTAAAGGCAACTTGGCGCGGATTACGTGCACGATATGGTCCACATAAACGACCAAGTGAACAAGCAATTCGTAATGTTGTGAAGAAATTTGAAAATAGGTTTACATTGTTAAATAATCCAAAAACAAATCTTGTTGAAGCTGTAAGACAGTGTTAAAAATAATCCAAATTTGTCTGTTAGACGTCGTTCTCAGCAATTGGACCTTACATATCCCTAGCAACATTTTTGGTTCCAAAAACCATTGCCAAAGTGGTGATAACTTTAAATTAGTTAATTATACTAAACAGCTACTTTAATTTTTACTTAAAAGTAACTCTAACTTTTAAATAGCAATATTTTGTAACAGAAACTTAATTTTTCCTTAAATGGTTACTATAAAGTAATAAACATTTAAGTAAAACTTGGTTGCACCCAAGAAGACTTTGCAACTTTAAAAAAGGTGTTATAAGTAAAAAAAAACTTTAAAGTAAATTTAATTTGTAGCAGTTACTTTCGGTTGCTACCTAAAGATTACATTATAATTATTTTTACTTTGTAGTCCCTTTGCAAGTTAAAATCTCGAAACTGGAACATGAGTTAAAAACTACAAAGTTAATAACTTAAAAGTTATTATTTTAGTATTTGGAACGTTTATGGTACTAACCAAAACAACCGTAAAGTGGAAAAAAACTTTAAAGTAGCAAAAACTACTTCAAAGGAAAATGCTTCTTATCGGCCATTTTTTACTGTACAGTACCACGTGGTAATGTAAATAATAAATTATTTTAATTGTTTGTAAATGGTTGTTTACTTTTTAATAAATAGTAATTTTGTTGGTAATAGACGGTATTAATAATTAAATAAAAAAATTAATAATAAATATTAAGATTTTTTTATTTATAAACTATATTAAATAAATAATTTGTTTATACTTAAATATTGATGAAGCGCATTTATTTTACAAAAACTTCATAAGTTCAACAGTAAAATTTAAAGGGTTTATAAATTTACCTGCCTTATTAAACATTAAATTGTTATTCTGGAAGTTATAAACTACCAGTACATATTTAATAAACGACGACATTGAAAAGCCAAGTCCGTAGTGGTTCCATTTAAAAAAGGAGGGATAGTATAAGCTAATATAAGTTTGACAAAGACAGTTAATATAGAAGTAAAAACAAATAAATAAAAGTAATTATAACGCTTTAGCAACGATATTGGAACGTTCTAGTAACGTAGCAGCTACGTTCCAAATAGTAGCAGGGTTTATAGCTAGTGACCTATTTGCTACCTTTTTGGAACTCAATAATTGTTCCCCACTTTAGTCGTAACTTAGTAATTTAAGAGTAATATAAAGAGACCGGCGACTGTCGCAAAACACTTTAAAGTTTCTTCAATAGTCCCATATACGTAACAAATACTTAAATTGTTGCTTGGGATGGATCAACCTTAAGGATTTTACGGAAGGATTTAGGTTTGCATCCATACAAAATTCAATTGGTTCAAAAACTAAAGCCCAATGATCATCGTTGTCGCCGTAATTTCGCTGCTTGGGCGATCGAACATTTGACTGAAGATCCGTTTTTTCATCTTACTGTAATGTTTAGCGATGAGGCTCATTTTTTTTTAAACGGCTATGTTAATAAGCAGAACTGCAGAATTTGGGGTGAGGAGAATCCTCATGCATATGAAGAAACTCTGTTGCACACAGAAAAGGTTACAGTATGGTGTGCCATCCATGTGCGTGGAATCATTGGGCCTTATTTCTTCGGGAATGCCCAAGGAGAGCGTGTTACGGTAAACGGAGTTCGTTATCGGGCAATGTTAAAAGACTATTTCTTGCCAATTGTTATTGAAAACTAACTGGAACAATTGTGGTTCCAACAGGACGGCGCTACGTGCCACACCATAATGAAACCATGGAGTTATTGCAAGAGCACTTTGGTGAAAAAGTTATTTCAAGAAATGGCCCTGTAATTTACCCAGCAAGATCTTGTGATTTAACGCCGTGTGATTTCTTCCTGTGGGGTTATGTGAAGTCGAAGGTCTACGCTAACAATCCAAGAACAATTGAGGATTTAAAAACCAACATCAGAAATGTTATTGGTGAGATACCGGTCAAAATGTGTGAAAACGTAATGTTAAATTGGACTACTCGAATGCGCTATTGTCAACAAAGTCGTGGAAGACATTTGACCGATATTATTTTTAAAACATAATTGTAATTAGTTAGTCTTTCAAATAAAAACAAAATACTTTGGCCTTGCAACAATGTTTGTGTTTTATTTTGTTTTAAAATCCTAAAGCACTAATTGGATCATGAATTATGAATTATAAATAAAAAAATTAACCTATTTTTTATATTCTTTAACAATTACCACATTACATTTTTTTTGCGTAGTTAAGCGATTATAAGTCCAGTCCATTTTTTGTTTTATTAATAATAATAATAATAATAATAATCGTCTTTATTTTTTAGTAAAATATTACAATAATATTATTAAATACTTTACATAAAGTGGCACACAATGGCGAAGTTTAGCCCAAGGCTACTCTTACACTTAACCAAGTGTGATATTATAATTGGTGTTTAATAAGACTAGAAAATAAAATAAATAAGAAATAGCAACAACAAAAGTATATACATATATATTAGGGTGGTCCTTAATAAGGTTATTTTCAAATTTCTTTGCTCCCAGGGGCTCAAATGCTTCCAAATTAATTAAAAAAAATTTCCTGAAAATTTGAGCTCTTAATATTTACTCTAAGATAGTGCGCATTCCAATCTAAGTTTCCTATGGAAATAACATAGGAAAAATTACTTTTGTTGTTTATAATTTTATAACTTGGGAACGAATGAATTAAAAATTATAAATCATACAAATTTTTATAGAGAATTTAACGATCTACAAAAAAGGTCTCCTATAATTTTTCCATTAGTCTATTTGTTTAAAAGTTATTCAACGTCAAAGTTTAATTTTCATATTATTATTAATATTATCAAGGCTTTTTTATGAGGCACCGT